AAAAAAAGAAGACAAGTAAATGACTTTCTTTCAACTCTTCTTGCAGTATGCTCCTGTGGTTGAGATGTTGGATGCTTAGATTAGACCTGTGCATGGCAGATTAGAAAGCTCCATCATGATTGCCATCATCCTGCTAACCTCTTAAACTAATATCTGATGTATCATGACATCCTCGTGTGTTGATGTTCAGTTGTTGTAAGGAGCACCTTTGTTTACTTCAAAGTTACCCTCATATCCTTTTGATTAGAAGGAACACAATTTTGTATCAAATTTTGCGTGTCTATTGTATAAACCGTTTCATCTTGTAGTCTGTTTTAGCATCTAACGTAGGCACATTTGCCCTTGCATCCTTCATTTGAAGTGAAAAGAAAAGAAAACAACGATCCACAAATTATAAATTTTGAAATATCTGCTTATATAATTAAAATTTAAGATCCTTTAAGTTCCATGAATCCATTTTTCCCTCGGACTTTCTGTTTATTCATTTCTTTTTTGACATTATACCATGACAAAAACTTCTATAACAAAACAAGGAAATGGAACAACCAATGAACAAATTTAAATAGTACAAACATAAGTGCATGACTATTATGTTTTATTAGCCAATTTAGTTGTATTTTTCAGCTTTGAATTTCAATTGTGGATTGCGGATGTCATCCTGGCTTTGAATTAGCCGAATCTCCAAGCTGCTTGATTGTGGATCATAGCCGGCTCTCAAATAGTCATTCAGTGTCCGCTGTAGAAGTGCCTGTATTACAAGTCAGATTGTAAATCAAATATACTTTGCATGATTGAGACCTATAATCATCATTCTTAGTACCTTTTGGACCATCGATTCATTTCTTACGTCTATTGCTAACTTCAGTATAGTTGCATTTTAAGCAAACCATTTTAATGGCAATAAACCTAAAACCTTGAAGCCCTAAAGTCCTTCATGGTTCTAAGTTGCTTAATTGAAATTGCAGGTGTTAGATATTACGAATAGTCGAAAATATCATCTAGAAAAGTATGCAGGTATGTACTACAGCCATGTCCAGTTAGGTAGAATAGTTATTACTTGGTCAATGGATGAAAATAGTACAAAAAAGGAAGAGTTCTTGACAACTTAGGACTAAGCTGTGAATAAGGTTGCTTATTTTGTTTTCAAGAGAATAAGGTGAGATTAACCATTACCACCTCATCAGGTTCAGTTTTTCCTAGCCTATTCCCTACTTTAAAAGAAAAAACACTCTTATTTCAACTTTCTTTTTAAATGAATCAAAATAATGTTGTTACCACCTTATTCCTAGCTTCTTGAGTCCTCTTAGTTATTTTACTCTATTTTTGTTGGCATTTTTTTTTATTTACTTTATTTCAAGCATTATCCAATAAAGTCAGAGTCAGAATAACCATACCTGCAAGCTTGATACTGCAAGCTCTGCTGCTCTGTCAAGGTTGTCAGGATATTTCTGCACAGCAGAAAGAGCTTATACGTGAGAAATAAAACTGTGGAATTTGATTTAAAGCTGCTATAGAATCAAGAGGCATTACATTACTCCATCCAAGAAAAAGTGCAGTCATTAGATCTCCTGTACCCTACAGGCATAGGAATGTACGTCAACACAGCTAATATTAACAAGGAGCAAACAGAAAAAAGTGAAGCAAGCTAATTTAGTTATACTCGGTTGATAATAAACAATAGGATAGGTGAAGACAGCCAGTAAGTCATTTTCTTTCCAAATCACTAGTGATTTCATAACAACAAAATATATGTAAAACCTCATATGCCTCACACAAACAACTTGAACTAGCATCATTAAGAACCATTCAGATTCTAATTCTCTGGAAATCACATTTAAGTTTGCAAATAAAGGATTAATGAAGACATACCGTAAAATATGCAGGAATTTTGGGTATTACAATCTTGAATTGCTCAGGAGAGTTATCCTGTCAAGTGAATCTGTTTAGTAACATAAAACTGAAGCATATAAGTAGATAAGCTTCTTAGAATTTCTAAATTTTGAATTGAAAAATTCAAAGACAAATCAAAAGAATTAGTAACCTTTCACACAGACTGACCTTATCCTTCTTATGACTACCGATGAGGAAAAGACTACCTTCAATGTTTATGCTTGTAATGACGACCTGAGAGTAATCAAAAGTCAGTGGAGGGGAATACAGTTACTTTCCCTAATAAGATTAAGTTTTCCACAAACTGTACTTTGATACAAAATACCCACTTTATCCTCATTGTGTCAAGTTATAATTTGTACAGAATAATAGAGTTAAACTGCTACTGGTTCTAGCTAGAAGACTATGGAATACAAAAATTTACTGTAATTATTGTCAAGAAAGAAGGTTCAACCACAACTAGCAACAATATATGTATTTTTTTCGATCTATACACAACAGTGCCTTTATTACCTTCAAATTAAACCCCAAAACCAACAACTACCGTGTATGCAGATTTTCTCAAATCTGTGCAAATTTAATTTCTTTATTAAAAAATTAGAAGAAAAAAATGCTAATAGAAAGACCTTCAAATTCAAGGGGCAAAAAAGAAGAAGAAGAAGAAGATGGTGTTAACACATTTTCACATTAAAAGAAGTTATCAATTCAATACTTTAGATAGATATCTTTATCTTTTTGAAACATGGAAGAAGAAGAAGAAGAAGAAGATGGGAGAGGGCAGACAAACAAACCTTTGAAGGACCTGTGGCATGAAGAATCTTACAGGCTTCCCGGCCATCTTCTTCAGAACAAATTCTGTAATAATTAAATAATCTAAGAAAAAGGTGCAACAAATAGATAAAGCATAATGCTAGAAGTTATAAAATACTAAATACCTTAACCCAGTCAACAGTTCCGCTTCAAACTGATTAGGAGTCAACATTGAAGCCACTGGGAGAACCTAACCATGAAGAGTGTTGGCAAAATGAATTTCCAAGATAATAACCTTTAATTACTCATGCATCAAATCAAAAGCATTATTGCAACTCGGTTCAATGACTGTCAGAAACAACTAGTCACAAATATCTCTTAATCTGTATGAGGATTATCAAAACAAAGTCATGAAAGCATAGATAATAAAATTAGTTTGCTAACCTTCTCACGATATACTGATATCAACTCTTCAGGAACATAAAGCTTTCCTTCATCACCCATCACTGGATCACAAACTAGACAAGAAATGCCAGATTAGGAAACAAGCTTTTGGATTGTATTGATACATAAATCTTTTCCTTCATCACCCATCACGATACATGTTAATATATGCTATCACATTCCATTCAACCTTTATCTCTAAATATTAATTATTAACTATTTCTTACAGAACTATTTTTCCTAAAATGAGTCATTCTACATTACACACAAAAAAGGAAAAGCAAATCTTGCTGTACTATCTTAACAAACAAAAGAGCCGACAAAAGGTACTCATGTCATCACAAGTGAATTTTTTTCCAGATAGGAAAAGGAAGTTAGCACTTAACCATTGATTTAACTCATGTCATCACAAGTTAATCATGGTGCATTAAACTGTATATGTAAATCAATTTTATATCAAACAATTTTTGAATGTCAGGTACTTTTTGGAAGATCAACTCACCATATGTAAGATTTGGATTTATGGTGCGAAGCTTATCTACAACTTCCAACACAGTGTTCAAAAAAGAAACAGAACCAATATAACCTGCAAGTGCCCATCACAAACGAAGCAGTGTAAAGGAAATGGGTTAAAAACCAGAACTGCAAAGAGAAAATAGCAATAGAAGAATTTGACTCATAAACTCCCAAGAACTTGTACCATCAATGGAGATATTGCCATACTAGACGGGATACCTGTCAATAAATGGGTATAGTATAACAAATCATTAGCTTCAAGACCTTCTATTAACTCCCAAAGTTGCTGCCCATTCAAAACTTGACCCCTGAATGTTGGGTATCCTGCATAATTTTCCAATATGTCAGACAACAATATCAACCATATTCTTGTGAAGATACTGTGCCTGATACCATGAAACAGGCACCAGAGTTCTGAGACCGAATAGTAATATAAGCAGATTACCTGTGTGGTTTGAGAACTGTACTGAATTGATTGGATCGACATCATAGCCCAGTAACTGGAGAGGAAACACAGCCGACTTATTGCCAACATATCCCTGAGAAAGACATCAGAGCCAATGAAAGCTAGCTTTCTAAATCAAAAGGGATAATATTCATAAGTATCTGGTCAAAGTTAATCATCATCATCATCATCAACATTCTATCTCACAAATAGAGAATATATTAAGAAAAGTTAATAAAAACCCAAAAGAACATATGGAATACCTGAACAGTGTGCGATTGAATGCTGAGAACCCGACCAGTTTCCGAGGGCAGAGCCAATGAAAGAATTGGTGGCGCCATCACTGCTTTTCTCGACCCAACCTTCAATTCCGACCAACTCAACAAAGATTGACGGAAAGGAAAGGTAAGACTCAAATTTGCAGGAAATAACGCGTTACAGAAAAGTTCTCACCGGAAAATGGTAGACTTCGCACGACCGGCGAGCAAAGAATGTAGCATAAGAATTCTGAGCTCGAGAGTGCGTTTTAGCAACGACGGAGCGACCCCGGCGTCACCTGAAAACCATTGAAATTACAAAGTTACCACTTGTTAGGTGAGAATCCGATGTAGAACGGTGAGGATACTCAGGTAAATTCGTGCATGCAGTGGGGTCTCTAATCCGATTTCATGAGATCAGATCGTTGAATTAATCAAAGAAATTAGAGAAGAAAATTCAAAATTCAACCAAAAGTCGAGATAAGAAGAAACAGCACGTTACCGTAGGTGATGCTTTATTCCGTGACAGTCCACCGACGTGATCTTTTGTCGAGACGGATGCGTTTAATCGGGAATAACAGAGACCACCGCGGCCACGCCACAACGAACCCCGCGGCGCCACTCTGACGCCGACGAAAATGGTGGAATGAGGAAAGGAAATAGAGGAAGGAAGTTAAGATGGAAAGTGGAGGGAAAAGATGAGAAAAAGGGGAGGATGAAGTCAAGACAGGAACAAACCTGTAGAAAGTGAACTGAAAATGGAGAAATTTGCGGCGGAGATGGTAGGAGGATGGGAGCTCAAATGTCAACGGCGTTGCCGCGGCGGAGAAGAAGGCTGCGTCAGGTTCGTAGTTGGGACTTGGGTCGGGAGGGGAAAACAGTCGAACGGAGAAAGGAAGAGATAGGGCCTCATTATTTATTTACTGCAGGAATGTGAATTTAATTTGGGCCTAACAAATCTAAATTAGCTTCACTAAAACTTAAAGTTTTGGGCCTCAGCCTGCTTAATTAATAAGTCTGTTCAGGGTCCAGGGATGAAAAGGCCAATTTCTTCTGGTTAAATTACAAAATTAGCTCTTATACTTCTGAGGAAGTTTTAAGTCGAGAGTTCTTGTTTTATTTCAATTAAATTTAGCCTTTCAATCTATGCTAGCATTGATAGCCCCAAAAAAAAAAAAAAAAAACTTATGCTAAAATATTTCTTGAGTAAAGTATTCTTTTTTTGTATATCTATTTATAATATTATGCACTAGATTGGGTGTAGTCATTTTTTTTTATTTTATAAATTACTCATATATCTTAAGGTTTAAATTTAAAATTCTTGATTAGTTGATAAAATGCATATTCCTCAAGTTAAAAGAGTGTTTAGTTGAGAGAAAACCTTTTCACTTAAAGTTTTTAAAATTTTTCTCATTTATGTATTTGTACATATTAATACTACAAAAAAAGGAGTAAAATTGATATTTTTAATCTTTATTTTCTTTAATATAATTTGAAATTTGTAAAGTTTTCTTCTCACTTATTTTAAAAGGAAAAACTTTTCTTATAATTATTTATATATTGAGTCCACTTAATAACTTTCCTTACTAACTTTTTCTATATCAGTTTTTTTTTATCAAATATAACAAAATTAATGATCCAATAAAATTATGATAAAACTTTATTACAAAACTTAACAATTTTTCATACATTATTTTTAAATTTTTCATACAATATTTTTTAAACTACATTCTTAATAAATTTTTTTTAATAAAATGAAGCTCTAACCAAATAGGCCTAAAGGGCTGTATTTGAAATCTAGTATTTATTTATGAGACTTGATCATCTGAAATAGTAAAAGTTTTAGAACTGAATTAATTTTTTTAAATAAATTTGGGACTGCTGTTTGCTTATTTCCTCTTTTGACATGGCGAGTGGCGACTAGCTAGACCATAACCCAAATCTCTCGAAGGCATCTGTTCCGCTTTCAGACAACCAGTGGCGGCGAATCCAGTTCTTCACATTCCGACAACATGAAACGGAAGAAATGGTCAGAGCTAGAAGAACAGACCTTACTTTCCAAGTACTTCGATCTTCACAATTCAGGGTCTCTGTCCAAGCTCAAGACCCGGGAGAAGAAGTTCCGGCCCATCGCCGACCACGTTAATTCTGTGCATCATCTCCAGGACCCAGTTACCTTCCCCTTCAAGTGGTCATGGCGGGACGTTTCCATCAAGGTGCAGAACATGAGGCATCAGTACCTGGGGGTGAAGCAGAAGATCAGGATTTCAAAGGATGAGTTCAATTGGAAAGATGGTGAGAACCACTGGGAAAATTTCTTGAAGTATAAAGAGGTTTTTGGTGATGTGGAGCTCGAAGTGAAGGGAAAGAAATCAAGTGATAATGGTAATGGTAGTGGTAGTGGTGGTGATTTGTTTGAGGATTGTTGTGACTTGGGGTTTGGAATTGACTGTGATGACTTCGAGGAGGAAGAGGAGGATGATGGTGTTGATGGAGATGGAGATGGAGTTGGGGATGATGGTGGTGAGGATAAGGTGGGGAGTGAAGGTGAATTTGTTGGAGAGAGGGAATTTGGGGATATGGGTGGCATTCGTGTGAGGAAATTTAAGAAGGGTAATGGAGGAAATAAGGGATTTGGGATCCTTTGTGGTCAGGTTTTAGAATTGAGGGATTCTGTGGTGAGGAGGGAAGAGAAAAAAAGGGAAAGAGATTTTGGAAGAGAGAAGGAGGAGGTTGGAAGGGAAGAAGAAAAAAGGGAATTGGTGTTGAGGAGGGAAAAGCGGCAAATAGAGAGAGAGGAGAGGTTGCAGGAGAGGGAGGCAGAGTTGGAGGAGAGGGAGTTGGTGTGGGCAAGAAGGGAGCTTGAGAGAAGAATAAGGTTAGAGGAGGAATTGGATGAGGAGAGGAGGAGAAGAAGGAGAATGGAGGAGAAGAGGGAGGAGGAGGAAATGGAGTGGAGGGAGAGGTTGGTTGGATTGCAGATTGAACATGAGAAGGCAATAATGCAGATGCATGCAGAGGCTTGCCAGAACCAAATGCAGATTCTTGGGGTCATGGCAAGGCTCTTCTGTCAGTTTTTTGGGTCGGCTAATGATGGATTGGGCGCTGGGTTGGGGGCTTTGCCTCCTCAGGTTTTACAAAATTTGCAGCATCCTGGAGGATTGAGTGACAATGGGAAGCCTGACTCCAGTTCTCCTTCAGAATTCATGTAAAGTGTGATTCAATCACCCCTGTGAATACTAGTGTTTCTTAAGCTCAGATAAGCTGTGAATTTAGTTGATTCTTCTGATATTGGATGCTTTCCTAATATGATACCTGACTGAATGAAATGTATTTCCTTACCAAATGTGGTTAAGTTGGCTATCCCTTGTTTACGCAATTTATGCACAATTCAGGATCATTTTCTTTTGGAATAAATCTGTTGACTCTTACTTCTAACCCTGTTTAGTTAGCCCTCTACATTAAATTTGCAATTTTAACTTTCTGTGTTCTCTGTTTTATATTATCTTTAATGTTGCTTGGTTGATACATTCCATCAATCTTTGATGAGAAATGCAATGTCAAATTTTAATTGAGTGAACTAAGCTCTTTTTTCTTTGCTAACTGTTTAAAGCAAAAACTTAGGTGTGTTGTAAACCTTTTTTTTTATTAACAATGAAACAATAGCTTGAGTGCTTCTATAATACCCCAATCCCACGTTGGGAAGATATTGTGTGTGAATGGTATATATGGACTACTACTAACAACTTTGAGCTTGTGCCTGTGAGGATCATGGGAAAGTTGGCCCAATGAGTTGTTAGCCTAAAATCTAATGGTTCTTTAGCTGTAAAATTCCTTATGGAACTAAATTAACCTTTGGGAGATAAGGACTATAGCTTTTTGAGAAGACTCTTGGTGATGGATAGTTTTATAAGTGCAAAGTAATTGAACCAGTAATTGTAGATCCCATGATTTATAATATTGGAAGCAGAGCAGGTACATGCTGGTTTTCTTCATTTTGTACGGTTATCTGTGCTAATGAACCACAATCTTGATGTCCATGAGTTCTGGGGCTTTCTGTTTATTGGCCTGTGTTGTTATACTGCCTTTATATTTAGTAATCACTTGACACAGGTGAAAGTGGGAGGATTTCTCCATGGGCTTTATGTTCCTAATTAGAAGCTTTTATTGTAATATAAACTCTGGTATGAAGGATTTCAATTAGTTTGAAAGGTAAGATTTTTGAATAGCTTGGCTCATGCACTTCAGTTGGTAGAGCTTCCTGGACCTTAATGTTTTTGGTTTGTGTTCAGAGACTGAAATGCAATGCTGATTGCTGGTTTGGTTGTGTTTTATAGGAAACTAATGGAAAGTAACTTTCTGTCTCAACATCTAATTTTAGTCACATGGTTCTTCCATTCTGCGTACAAGAATGATCGTAAGTAACCTTCTGTGCTTAGCACTTTCATATTTCATGTTTGGTTCCAAAATAACTTTTCTTTTTTTGGCCTTTGGTTTGAAAATAACTACTCTGTAGTTTTAATTGCATTAAATAAGATAAGATAACTATTGCCACTTCCATCTTTCCTGGGTTTTGGTTATTCCTACATTGTTCCCACACTCAACTTTTTATGACATTAATCACAAGGCAGAAGGAAGAGTTCAAAATGGTGCCTTCGCTGGATGTTGATGGAGCCAAATCCTCCGTACCTGCAGGAGAAATATGGAGGTCTACTGAGTAAAAAAGTAGTGTAAGAACACAACATGCCTGACTTTTTTTATTCTTTTTCACAAGAGTTTAAGCATTGATTTGAAATTGCAGAAAAGACTGCCAATTATGCAGATTTCCATTTCAAGACATTCAGGGACAGCCTTAAAAACTGAATGTCTTTCAATGAACCAAGGGTGATAGCTTCTTTTCGATTTGACAATGGAACTAATCCTCCTTCTAGATGTTCAAAGGAATTTGGAAATTGTACAACTGGAAACTCTGCAACCATGAGCCCTACGTTGCTGCTCGCCACATGATTCTATCTCATGCCGAGCAGTTAAAAGATACTGCCATAAATACCAGGCAATGGATGGAATTCTCCAATATTTCTCAGTCAATTTGCAACTTTGCAGTTTGTTTTAATTCTTATTTTGATGGTTATGTAGGCCTTGCAAAAAGGAAGAATTGGACCGTGCAGCTCAAAGTGCCAGGGGCTTCTCTATTGAATGGTAACATTCTGAATTACAATCCCCATTGGCCTGAATGTGACTGGTTATTCACAGGGTCAACTGGAATGCTGCCCATGCTTGTAAGACCTTTTCCTCCCTTCTTATCTCTTAGCAGAAATGAAATGAATTTTTGGCATAAGATAGAAGTTGTAAATATATTGGAATTAATGGCAAATATTGAATTTGCTTTTAATACTATAGCTTTGATGGGTAAGACTAGTTGGAATCTACCAAATAGTCAAAGTGAAGTTAAGGCTAGAACAAGATATTAATTAAATAGCCTCTGTTAATATCTAATTAATGTTGGAAAACATATGGTTGGGTAGAGATGATTCTGTTGGCCGCATGACCTTGCAACAGAATATCCCAAAGAAGGGACTGTTCGCTGCAGGATATCGGCACCTATCTCTGATGCTAGCTTATTGCTCAGTTGACATTTTCTTGATATTCAAGACTTGGTAATTGCATGACTGTTAGATCCCATAAACCAACCATTCCACCTGGAAATTGGGTCATAACTTCATGACACACATACCATGTTTTCAGCTGAAGCAAAATCAAGCGTTAATGGCAAACAAAGAATCAAGAATGACTTTCCTTTTCGTTTAACAGGTTACTTCTAGACACCTTTGGATGCTTTGATTACCAAAAGTTGTATTTATCTCAATTGAAAAATGAATCACTATATTTACTTTTGTGTTAATTTATAAGAAATTGCTTAGGAAAGGTTACTCTTAACACTTGTTACGAGGGAAGATAACTTGATGTCACACCTTAAATTTGGATATTTTTCTCACAACCCATGAAGTAGAGAGGCAGATTTACAACTACCACTTTTTTCTATGTTGTCTTGTTCCTTAGCTTATCAAAACACATGATTTTGCAATGAAGAAAAATGGAGAAAAAGGTTTGTGCAACATTCAGCTACATCTGTCTTTGTTATTATTATATTAAAAAAAAAAGTGTTATGCAGTTTATGCTATGTATTTACATGTGTCTTTGTTATTATTATATTAGAGAAAAGTGTTACGTAGTTTATGTTATGTATTAAATAGTATAATTTAAATCATTAAATAAGATAGATCTCTTAATATTGAGATTATATCTTATTTAATGGTTTTTATTTTGTAATCTAAATTTAATATTAAAACCATATTTCATCTAATGAATTTTATTTTGTAATTTAAATTACAAAATAAAACACTTTATAATAATTATTTTTTTCTATTTTTGGTTGGTGAAGTCGGATGGAGGGAGAGCATGACGGACCTTTCAATTTTCTTTGAATCATTGGTAAAACATGGGATGCTGCATTGTGAGGCATTTTTAATTTTACGGGTGTCAGTGTCCTTTACAGCTTTTCAAGTATTTGTAGTATTCCCTAGGAATCTTGTAGGCAGTCTCTTTTAGATAGAAAAAACCCCATGTTAAGCACTTAAAAAATTCTATATTAAGTTTATGAATTTATTTTAGATTATTAATTAAAGTTTTAAATTATTATTAAATAAATAAATTTTAAAATTTTAAAATTTAGGTAACTTAATTTTTTTTATGATAAACTTAATATTTATAAATATTTTATTAATAAAAATAAAATATTTATGTCATTGACAAGTATAGATTTTATTTACGTAAAAGGATATAAACAAACAAACATTGAATTTATTATTAAAAAAATAATTAAATTATTTAAATGATCAAGTTGAAAATTTTAATTATTTTAATAAATATTTAATTAAAATTTTATGATAAATTTAAAGACTTGACATACGGATTTTGTCTTTTCGACATGTGAGGTTGAAAATCTAGTACCACATGCACAACAAATCTTCTTGGCATTGTTTTATTTTTACTGTTAGATTCTGGAACATTCACACCTACATCAGCTCTATTTGGTAGCTATTGATAACAGCTACCCTTACATGCATACAATAATGAATTTCTTTTCCTTTGCCCTATGACTTTCCTTCACTAACATTTGGAAGCAAATATTAATATGTAAAATAGGGGTTTAGGGCTTAGTTTTTCAGTGGTCCACCACACAACCCTAAGAGCTTGTGATTCAATAGGCTCTACTCCCACCTATATGTGACTTGAACATGTTACACGTTTCCCTGTTCAAAAAAATCCCCTTGTTGGCATAGTTACTCTCATCATCTATATTTGATAAAAAAATTATTATTTATTATATAATATATTAAAATTAATTTATAAATAAATAATTTTAAATATCATATTATTGTTATTATTATTATTTTTTGAATAAGTTGTCAAGAAACAGGCATATGAGAGAGGGAGATACACTTAAACTGGCAGGATGTCAGTTGACTCGAAGGATCAGGTGCAAATATCATATTAATTTTTTTAAAAATTATAAATTGATAAAATCATAAATAAATTAATAATCTCAATCATTTAAATGGTAATAATAACTTACCCCGTTGGGGGCTTAGTTTCCCAGTGGTCCGCCGCACAACTTTAAACCTATATTACTTGAACATGCTACACGCCCTTTCCCCTGCAATTACCCCTGTTCAAAAAAAGAGAAAAAAAAAAAAATCCCCTTTTTCAGACAGGATGAAAAGTTGATTATAATCGTGCATCAATTTTTGTAATCATCTGATTTGTTGCATTTCTGTATGCATGTGCTGAACGTAAATACCCGGTATGACCCTTTCCAAAACTGACTTGTTTGTGATTGCTTTATAACCAAGTTGAAGGTGAGTATTTGTTTAAAAAGTTTTGCTTGTAATTTCAATGTCAGCAGTCCATACTCCGTTATAAAATGTACTATTCTTAGCTACTTTGAATTATTCACATTAAATTAAATTTAAGGTTTTTTGAACCTAAGTCTCATGACTTAACGGTTCAACAACTTTACATTTATTGCAAAGTGCATCCTTCTCACTCTTAAGTTGTAAAATATTAAAAAAAATTAAATTTAAGGCTTCTTTGTCATATTTTGCATAAATTTTTTCACACAATATTTTATTTTAAAATATATTTATTATTTTTAAACAATTTTTATATATTTTATATTATTTTAATTAATATTTTTATATATTTTTAAATAATATAATATAAAAAATCTATAAGTATAACATAATACTAATAAAAGAAACCTAAATTACTTCTGCGATAAATATACCATGTACAATTGTATTTGCTTTGCTTCTAACCAATATCAAAAAATTATCTTTTGGAAGAATAAAATATGCCCTGAACTGAATACTCTTAGTACACACTTTGCTTGTTGGATGAAAACATACATGTAATATATCTTCCTATAGTCTTACATATATGTCTTACATATGTTTTCACAATCAATCCTTAAGGGAAAATAATATTCAAATAATCAAACTCTATAATTACAAATGGTTTAATCATGTTAGTATCCAGTAACTTTATTACCTTAATTTAAGTGAATATTAAAAATTCAAATAGATACGATAAGTAATCCAAACAATTTAGCCAATGAAAAAAGATTCTTATACAGATCTACTTAAAGAAGAAAGGAAAGATGTATGGAACATGTGTCCAATTGCAGACATTTGGATAATCCATTGCCAAAAGGGAAGACCATGAAAATTACGTTGGTTAGGAAAGAGACACTTACTTAACGGTAAACAACTCGGAGACTACACCCATGCCAAAGTTATATTAATTTGTCCCATATTTTTCATAGAACATTGTGACACACCTAAAATCCAAAACCACCAGTCCAAGTCAACTTCCTCTCTTTTCCTTCCTACCCTCCTATATCTATCCCCATCTTCTATTTCCCAATGCGCGCCCTTCTTCCTCTAATTCTTCTCTCTTTGCCTCCTTCTTGAAAGCCTTTTTCGGATTGTTTTTGGGAGCCTCGCTATCAAAACCATCTTTTGTTGGTTGTTGTATTAAGAGACGACAATGAGGAAGCCTTGTTGTGACAAAGAAGGCACCAACAAGGGAGCCTGGTCCAAGCAAGAAGACCAGAAGCTTGTTGATTACATAAAAGCTCATGGTGAAGGCTGCTGGCGTTTCCTCCCCAAAGCTGCAGGTTCGACCGCGCCTGCCCTTTAATAGCACAGCATGCATATGAAATTATGCGTGTATATATATATGGCTATGAGGCTATCTATATGCAGTATATAAAAATATGGAGTTCGGTTTTTACCGGAGGAAAAAATATGGAGTTCGGTTCTTATGTGTTTTTCTAACTTTCTTCTTGTTTTGAATTAATTAGGTTTGCACCGTTGTGGTAAAAGTTGTAGGCTGAGATGGATAAATTATCTAAGGCCAGACATCAAACGTGGTAACTTTGAGCAAGATGAAGAAGACCTTATTATCAAGCTTCATGCCCTCCTTGGTAACCGGTATAGATACCCCTTTTCTCTTACATATATTTAAATGCATATTGCATATTAGTATAATCTTGACCATATATTGAGGTTCACGTTTGAGGATGATATATTACCATAACTATGATAAGTTTTAGACTTTTAGGTTCAATATAGTATCAAATATTTATGTTTTAAGATAATATATTACTATTCATATAATAACTTTACACTTTTAGATTCAAAACAGTATTTAACATTTATGTATAGTGTTTTTTCATTTTTTATGTAAAGTGTTACCAATAACACTATTCCATATATATGGTATAAGGACGTACATAAAATTTGCTAAATTTTTCATGATTTGCTTGGTTTTAGGTGGTCGTTGATAGCAGGAAGGTTGCCTGGAAGAACAGATAATGAGGTGAAGAACTATTGGAACACTCATATCAAGAGAAAGCTGATAAAAATGGGGATTGATCCAAATAACCATAAGTTGAACCAATTCCCTCCTCGTCCTCAACCCCAAAATGTTTCTTCGTCTCCCACATCAAAGAACATCGATGCATGCAAGCAGAAAGTAGTATCCTCTGGTGAAAATGATGGGGTTTCAGATGCAACAAGTTCTCTTGAAGAAGATGAAAAATCAAGTTTTCCCAACTTGAATCTTGATCTTACAATTGCCATTCCCTCTCCTCCATCCAAAAATATTGTTGAAGAAATGACTCGGATTAATACTGAGTTCATAGTGAGAAGTAAAGTACTAGAGAATGAACCTACACTTCTTCTTTTTAGATGATAAAGGGGCTTGGGGATTTTGGAGGGCAATAGAGCAAGAGGGAAAGGAAAATTACAACTTTTTTTCATGTTTTCCTTGTACCAATGAAATTGAACCCTATTAATTACTAATTTCTTTCTTGGGAGAAAAATAAATTGAAGGATTGTTCCGTGCCACCCTTTAATTAGCAATAAATTAATTGTCACTAGCTACCAAAGGATAAAACTGAATTTGTTGCTGATGTGTTCTTCATATCCTAAATTGAGTAGCTGGACTTGAAAATACAGATGTCAAGGTTGTAATTTATACATACATTTTCATTTTTGCTCTTCCAGCTATTAATTATAAGATCAAATGAAGAGGCTTGCAGTAACCCCTTTGATCAAGTCTTTGCACAAAATTTCGCTCTTTTCCTTGCGCTGTTTGCGCTGTAATCTGAGTTGTATGAATTTTTTTATGGATACAAGTTAAGTAATAATACTTTCAGCTGAATAAAAACTTAAAAATATTCTAATTTTGAGATTTTATAGTCAAATTTTAAATTAAATTGAGAGGAATTTTAAAAAAATATAACGTCATCCCTTCTTATGCAATTTATTAAAAAAAAAAAAAACTGTCAATGTTTTATTTGCATTTGAAGATAATCTCATGTTCAGAATTATATTTTTGTTGACCAGAAAAAAGTTTCCTCTATAGTTGTCGTGGAGAAAGGGAAAGAAAGAAGGTACAAAACAAAGAAAGGTGGGAGGTGGACCTGGTGGTTGAAGCTGTTAATGTTGAGGATTTTGACACAATGAAGATTTGAACAGACGACTCATGTTTATACAGTGTATGTGTTTATCCGCATCCTTTCAAAAAATGATGAGGGGAAAGAACACCATAAAATTATAACTTCATTTGTTACCTTCGTGTTGTGTTACACTTTATGATTATTGGTTATTTTATTTTATTTTATTTTAAAATTATGTAAATTATTTATTAAATTAGCAAAAAGTATGTAAAAATTTAATAAAATTACGTAAGAATTATAAATTTACATTTTTTTAAAAGGTGATGTTTTAAATATTGACAAACAAACCAATATCATTTCAATAATATACATATATATATATATTATATAATTAAGGTTAAGGGAACTCTAAGAGTTGAATTTACTAATAAATAAGTGTTATTTTGTAAATTAAATTTAGAATTCAAATTTTAAAATTAGTACTTAACGAAATTAATTTTTTTAAATGTTCTTGACCAATATGGAGATACAACTTTAAAATTGCTCAAAGAGAGATTAGTTTTTGAGATATATAAAAACTGATTCGAGAACATTTCGATATTAAATGCAAAAAATAAAATAAAATAAAATAAAGGTTAAGGGTGAATTTCCGACAGGCAATTATAGGAAGAAATTTTTTATGGCATGTTTGGGAACTTGAATTTGGTTAGAGTGTATTTGAATTTGGAGTTCTAAATTTAAATACATTGTTTGTTTTTACTTAAATGCAATGTATTTGAAGTTTATTTAAATACTTGAATTTGAAACCTTGTATTTTAAATGCATTCTCTAACTCATGAATTTCAATTCTAAAGTCTTGTATTTCATCAAAATAATTAAAAAAGGGTTTAATTTAACAAGAGATCTAATTTTAAATACGCTACATTTTAATATATCCAAATATTTAAATATATATGTATTTGAAATTCATTTTTTTAAAAATTAATCTAAACAAGGTGGGCCATTTTCGATTGGGCCGTTAATGATGGATTTGGATGGTCCAAGTCCCACCCACCGTCAGATTTTGGCCTCAATCAGTTTGGATTTACCTATCATTCTATATTTTGGGCCGCTACAGTCAGGCAAAAGATTACGATGCCCCAAACAGTCGGCGACTTGACAAATTCCATTGAAAAAGTCTCGTATATATTCACATAATATCACACCAACCCTAGTAATGAGCTTTTATATGTATAGAATCTCCAGAGTATGAATGAATCCATTTTAGTTGAGGTTCCGGAGAAAAAAAGTCTTGAGAAAGAAAAAATGACTTTATTTTCAAACCACAATCATAAAATAGTTGTTACTTTGAATAAACCAAACTCCAAAAAAAGATGCTTAAGAGTTAATCAAAAACCAAGATTGTTGTCAACGGTCTAAATAGTTTAGTAGTTATCTTTTTTTACTAAAAGTAAGAGATCCTGAATTCAAATTATATAACTTGCGAGTAAGGTGAGATAAAGGACGAGATATGGTTGTCTTCCATTGTACAACCAAAATTAAAAAAAATCAATATTGCTGATTAAGAAAAAAATAAAAAAGAAAAAACTAAAGCCAAGATTTGCTACCTGCTGTTGATTTTTCATCAGAATAGAGTTTTCTAGGATGCAAATCCCTTGACAAAAGGGGTTAAAGCCACCGGCACTACAATCCAAATGCAACACATTGTTTATACTTTATAGTATTTTAAAAATATTATAGTTATCATGATATATGATATTATAAATTTATCACATCATATATTATTGTAAAATTTAATTTTTTTATTCAGAGTCTGCGATATTATATGCATCCACTCATGAATATCATGTTATGTTTCATTTAATGTCACATAAAATTATAAATTTAGGTTTTGTTTGACAACATTTCTTGCTTTTTAACTTTTAGTGTTTATATCTTTTTATAAGTTAAAAAATATATAAATGTTTATTAAAATAAATATTAAATATATTTTATATATTTTTAAAATGTTAAATGACCATAAAAACTTATGGTTACAGTTATAAGTCAATATTGTCAAACTAAGTCTTAGACACTAATATGATATTATAACTATAACATTATCGATAATGTTTTTCATTTCACAAAAATAGTGGGGGAAAGAAAAAATCTTCATCCAATTAATTTGAAAATGAATTTTTAATCTTAGTTTTGTTTGGGATTATTGTGCTATGATTGTTGATTTTTTTTTATTATTACAAATATTAATTAAAACTATTAAAAGCATTAATTAATTAAAATTAATTAATTGTAATATATTTTTTTGTATTTTTAACTAAGATACTCTAAATTCAAACTGGAAAAAAAAAACTATTCTCTTCCCTTGAAACAAAAGAGTATCAAGAATGGTTACTTCTACTCCATAAATTGTTAAGATTACCTAAATTTTTAATTTTAATTTTTTAAAATACCGATTCATTTTAGTTTGATAGTTAGTTTCAATTAATAACTATAAGTGTTGGTGGATAAATAACTAAATAACTAATATTTATTATTTAATATATTAAAATTAATTTACATATTTATATTTTTAAATATCATAACGGACTATTTATAAAAATAAATAAATAAATGGCCCCAACAATTTGTTTGAGGTATAAACCTAAATTCACCTCTCAAATAACAAGTTATGGTTAGATCCAACTTAAAAAAAAAAAAATAGTTAATTACTTAAATAATTCAGTGGTTATCTCTTTTCGTTAAAAGTAAAAGATCCTGAATTCAAGTCGCATGGCATGCGAGTAGGATGGGATAAGAAATACGAGCCGGTTGCTTTCAATTGTACAACAAAAATCACAAACCAAAAAGAGAAATAAGATAAATTTTTTTAAAAAATTATCAATAAAAACAAATTAACTATTATTTAACATTAAATATTTTTATATATCGAAAATCTAATAATCATTTAAATATATTTTTAATGAAAAGCCAACATAGTATAATATTATATATTAAATATTAAATAATAAATAATTTATTTTAATCAATAATTTAAAAAATAATTTATTTTTATTTTTTAAAAATGTAAACCAATATTTCCCATCTTATTTGAGAAGCGAATTTTGGGGATTGCTTGCTTTGGTGGCGTAGCCATTCCCAAACGAGGAGCTTGCGCGTTGCGCCGTTCCTAGCCTACAGAATATCAGCCAAAGATTATTATATAATGATGATTGAATGACGTCATAACTCTTAGAAATTTCTGTTTTTTGAATTCCCACTGGCAGCAGTACGCGTCCACTTCATCAAATTTTGCTTTCACATAATCGGACAAGACCCGTGATTACAGGAGGCCCGTGAAAGGAATCCGTTTGGATTCATTCTGTTCAAACGCATTATAACAAAAAAAAGAGAAAAAAGGTAAATACTTTTTGTATAATTTTTTTTAATTTTTTATATAATTTAATATATTATTAAAATAATTAATTCTTTTAATTTATATAAAATTCATAATATTAAATATATCAACTCATTTAATGACATATAAAATTATATAAAAAAATAAAATAAAAAAATTATTCTTATAAAAAAAAAGATTGAAATTTGAAACTTCCTTTTCAAGATGGAATTATAAACTTTATTTCTCCTCACGGACCTCACCTCATTAATTCAATGGAAAGTTTATGAACAGACAAAAATGTAATTTCCCTACCCATCCCCATATTCCTCAATTTGAAATGATTGAGGAGTTGTGTATCTAACCATTTTGACTATGAATTCGGGCAGTCTATATAAAATTAATTTAGATAATAACCTTATTTTAAGTAAAAGGTTTCTGCATTTGAAATTTTGAATTATAGGTTTAGTGTGTGGAGTCATTGAAAAATTGAGAGATGATTACTATGCATGCTAATCAATTTGTTTGGAGAAAATAATTCTAAATTTTGTTGAACAATAGTAGTAATCATTTTCACCCTTATCCATTCCCAAAATTATCCACGCAGGCATTACTAGTTTATCATTAAGGGTTCAATCTCTTATGTTAGTAAGAAATGATAGTAGTGTTTTTAAAAACGAAAAAGTTATATTGTACTAAATTGCATTATATTAATTAATTTTATTTTAAAATAATTATTATTATCTACTTATAATTTTTAAGTCAAATAAATATTTTTTTAATTTTAACTTTACTATTATTTATTTATTTTGATTAATTATTATGTTATAAAATTTTTTATTATATTAATTAATTTTATTTTAAAATAATAATAATTATTTACTTAAATTTTTAAGTCAAATAAATATTTTTTTAATTTTAACCTTACTATTATTTATTTATTTTGATTAATTATTATGTTATAAAAATTTTTATTTTATTTTGTAATTTTTTTAAAGTAATATAAATAAATACATAAATTATTTTAAATTTATAATTAAAAATTACAAAAAATATTTTAAAAATAAAAAAATATTAAATAAAGGTGAGTCTCTTTATGTAACCTCTTAGTTTAGTCAATATGAATTAAAAAATAGGATTTTGAAAAAAAAGAACAATTATTTTAAATTTATAATTAAAAAAATTAAAAAAAATATTTTAAAAACAAAAAAATATTAAATAAAGGTGAGTCTCTTTATGGAACCTCTTAGTTTAGTCAATATGAATTAAAAAATAGGATTTTGAAAAAAAAGAACAATTCTTTCCTTTTTTAAAAGAAAAACCCTTTTTACTTTTCCTTTTCAAAAGTGAAAGATAAGGAAGCAACTGGGCCACACGTATGCAGAGTTTTGTGAATTTTGAGCAAGCAGGTTTCTAAAATTTCTTTTAAGATGAACTTGAGCTCAAAAAAGCAGGTCAACTTAAACTAATCGAGTAAGAGCCGTTTCTAAATTTTAAATTAAATTAATAATTTAAAGAATTTAATGGTTATTTTTTTTTTGTTAAAAATAAAAAATTTTAAATTTAAATAATATGATATATAAGTAAAATAAAATAAAAAATAAAAAATAACTATTCCTTACATTATGTAACTAAGATTAAAAAAAAAGTTTTCAAATTAAATTGGGGTGAACTATTTAAATTATGTAAGCGGTCCAGCTCAAACCGTTTGTCAAAGATATGATTGTTTGCAACCCAGTACAAAGTCCGTCCCTACAATGTTTTTTACTATCAAAGATTTTATGCCAGAAAACAAAATATGGCCGTAACTGAAATTCAGTTTTCCCATTTCATTAGGCAATCTCCACCCACAATACATTTTTTTAATCCCAAAACGGAATTTCCACTGATTCACATTATAACCACTGAATTCAGTTTTCTCTTTTAAACACTTATATAAACACATCACCTATAATCAATTCTCAGAGATACGGAGTTACAGAGATGGGAAACACCATGGGAAGAAGGAAGAAGGCAAGGATTATGAAGATCGACGGGGAAACATTCAAGTTGAAGACCCCAGTTCGAGCTTGGGACGTGGTCAAGGATTACCCAGGACACGTACTGCTGGATTCTGAGGCGGTGAAGCATTTTGGGATTCGAGCGAAGCCATTGGAGGCGCAGCAGGAGCTGAAACCCAAGAAGATATACTTCTTGGTGGAGCTGCCCAAGTTTACTGAGGAAAAGACTCCGAGGAGGGCCCGGTCATCGGGGATACAGATGAGTGCCAAGGATCGGCTGGAGTGCTTGATGCTGTCTCGGAGAGCGGCTTCGGACCTTTCGGCGGTGAAAGCGGTTCCGGCTCAGGGGTCTGATGGGCCTGGGGAAGGGATCGGACCGGTGAAGGTGAAATTAAGGCTGCCGAAGGCCCAAGTGGCGAAGTTGATGGAGGAGAGCAGAGATGGAACAGATGTGGCGGAGAAGATTATTGGTCTTTATATGGGAAACTCCGGCGACAATAAAAACAGTTCAGGCCGGAAATCGGTGCTAAATGACGGTATCAATCGCCATGGCATCGGAGAAAAATTAAAAGCGCGTGAGGTATGCATGCTATTATTATTATTATTTTCTTTAAAAATTAGTAATTCAAAACTAAATTTATTAATAAATAAATATTGAATTTAAGTTTTGAGATATCACCCAATGCTAATTAATATGAGAAGTTAACTCTTAAAATCTTTCAAAGAAAAATTATTTTCTAGGTGCTTGGAAACTGGCCCAAAACATCTTACTCTAAATAGTATTTAAAGATAAAAACTTTAAGAATTGGTCCAATTAATTATAATGTGCAACATTTGATATTTCCTTGTTCATTATTTTCCTTGAATTGTTATTTTTCAATTTTTATAATCCAAAATTCAAACACACTTAGATTTTTAGGGATTTCTTGTGGGAATCAAGTAAAAGGTGTGAATTTGAAACCTTACCTACCCTTTTAACATTTTCAAATTAGTCCTTTATGTTTTGTTTAATGATTGAACCAATATCTTAATGGCACATTAAATCATAGTTGTGATAGGTTAAAATATATATATATATATATATATATATATATATTCGTGCACTGCACAAGACATAGCTGAGGAAGGCATGTCTTCCTGAAAACCTTAAAACCTGCGGATTCGAATAACACTGCTCTAGCAACTTGGACCTACACTTTGGAAATTTAGGGTACATAAATTGCAGTTTAATGGACAAGTCTTTAAAAAGGATTAGTTAGTTTGCCCCGAAGATTAGTTTGTATAAATGACTTCAGAAGGTTAATTAACAAAACCATTTTCTTTTTCAATCACTTTCAATCTATATTGTTAATTCTTATTTGGGGAACACAAGAATAGTTCTTTATGTGAAATATATGCAGAAGCACTGCATATTACATCTAATTCGCACAATGTATAATTACAATACAATCATCTGACTTCAATGACAATCAAATAATAAGAAAAAACAGCAAAAAGTAGACTAAAACCCATAATTTCTAAATTGTAGAGTTTCAGTCTTTATCATTAGGCACATGGCCTTATTGGTAGAACAAGAATAATAAATATATAGATAAAACTAATCTGTCATGTTTTTCTAATCTAATCTAATTGAATATGCTATTAATGTAATTGTAGTTTGGTTTTTCCTCACATTCTGTAATTCATTATAAATTACTAAAATTTTCATTTTGTAAAGAACACCATTCATTCATTCCCTATCCCAACTGTCCCATACCTGATACCTCCTAACTGACCCCTTTTAAATCCTGCACCGTATCTAAAGTCTAATCAACTAATTCAGAGGCTCAATTGTCGGGCATTAAATGGTTAAAGAGGGGAAGTACAAGTTTCAAGAAGTAGATGTGGCTCCGAAACTTCCTCATCATCCATAGAAGTTCAGTGCCAAAAACAAAGAAAAATGAAAATAGTCAACAATAGAAGGTGCCCAATTTGACTTTTAAATGTATGGTACACCATCCTGAAACAACCTTGCTCAGTTCTTGTTTTGGCACTACCGATTTTCCTGGTATATGTAGAGACACAAAGTTCACCGGTTAGGCACAAAAGGTTTTTCTCTGTTTTCTGCTTTTTAGACTAATGCATTAATTTTGTCGAGTGTTCACTTTTTCTTCTCCGATCTAACTGCCCACGGCCCACCCATATATTCAGTTCTCCCATCTGACTTCCTCGTATATAAAGTTTTTTTATTTTCATCCCATTGTCAACATTCCATATTTCAGTTCCTATTTCAGTTCCATCATAGAATATTGGATGCCATATTCACACTCTGTTATTTATCTGCAGAGGCGAGTGAGTTTTATTTCTTCAAATGATGGCGAAATTCAATTAGCATCGCCATAGGAGCTGATGAAGCACTGAGAAGCAGTTCAGAAGTAGGACCATTCTTTTCCTGAGTATCCTTTCATGTTGTTCGGCAACTTTCTAGTGCAAAATGTGATCGGTTAAACAACAATTTCTCTCTCTTTGGTTGAGTAGTTGATGTGTGCCACTAATTAATTTAAGTAGTTGGATGTATAAGATAAATATTGTAAATATTGATTGCCCATGCTAGAGCATGGAAACTTCTGTTACTTCTTTGGTATGGCTTTTAACACGAAATCGAACATTTACGAATATCTGTTCATCATTTAATCCGCACTTCTGTTATACTACCTGAGGTTGATCATTATGGTATTTCATTTTTATGGAAGAAAAGAAGAAGAGGATGGTATTTTGGAAAACACTCAATTGTATTCCCTTGATTCATTCTGTACAAGTAACTGATATATATATATATATATATATATATATATACAAATGCCTGTTTACAAGGTTTTAAACAAAAAAATCGATCATATAACAACACACTTCCGAATTTTAGGACAAATTTCTTTGTTTGACGCGGTTAATTCACATCAATGCTTCTATCTGGTGCCTATAATTATGTGCACAGATATGGAATGTAAATATTACTTGACTGATATAGCATAGCCGTTTTCCTGCTGCATTGATTTAGATTGATTTGCTGTCTTCCTTATTCCTTGATTAACTCTGATAACTTTTTTAAATTGTGATTGCTCATTCTCCTCCATAATTTTCATCCTTGTTATATACATAGTTCGCTTTTCGAGGCTGATTACTCTCTAAATCTAGAATATCTGAATGGGATGGACATAGTTTTTATTTATGTTTATACATTTACGATGTGCCGGTATGATGTGTTGCTAGCAATCTCATGCCATCAGAGGGCAAGGTTTTTTTGAGTTAAAACAGTACAAAAAAATTCAGACTCGTAACTTAAAGATATGTATTAGATTAAGCGGCACTGTAAGAAATTTGAAAAAAGAGATGTTATTGTATAATTCATGATCAGATATAAATATAAACGAAAAAGTACCAAAATATCATCAAATTCACTTATTCATCAAGAAAGAAACTTGCTTTTGTACAACTTTATTTACAACAGCAACATCAATCACCTAGATTTCTAGAGATTGACAAACCAAGAAAGGGGGAAAGTTCGGAATACTAATAATTAAAAGAAAACTAGAGAATCAGGAAACCAAGAAACAAATAACTCAGATTTAACACATACTCCTACGTTCAAGAAGATTGAAATGTTTGGTTTGGCAATTGCGAAAAAGTCCCAAGAAACAACTCTGCTCTATATTACTTGCGGCAATCAGGGTCAGGTAGAAGATTACCTTCAGAATCATACAGAATCCTCCCTGAAAAATCCAGGGGACGGCATCGTTCACCCATCATGATAGTTTTCCTCCAAACGATTTCCTCCCCATCATCCAGCTCTTCTTCAGCTTCCACCTTCCTCCATGAAATCAACTTCACCATCAATTGAGCTTTGCTGCTTATGTTGCTGTTTATCTTCGACAGCAGCTTTTGTTCACCTGACTTCATGACTCTCTCTTCCCTCTTCCTCTGGCTCTGAGACTTCCTGCTCATACGAGAAGCACAGAGTAAATCTCGGACAATACCACGAAGAATTTGAGCCATGGATGTTGAGAAAAACAAAGAGGATTTAAGGGGACTTGAGATGTGTTGAGCCTCTGTGAAAGTGGTACATTTATTATGAGGAGATTGAATGAGACTAGACCACTGAGCAGGACTAAAACAGAGAGGACTGACACAGGGGTCAGAAGTCAGCACCCGTGTGATGAGGTGGCAATGCTTTTTTGCCATGGATGTTGACATGTCACTATGTGGTTCGGTAGACTTGTCTATGTGGGGTCTACCGACGTGTTTTACAAGTTGGGTGATATTGACTTGAGTTGACAGTTGACTTGGGGACATCGTCGGAAGTGTTTAACGGGCAAATCAGGGGGGAAGTCATTGGCCTTTTCCCTCTGGCCTCCTCTAGTGTCCGGCAGCACCTTTGCTTGGTTTGAATATGAAGAAGAAAGAAAAGGGAGAGGCTTCCAAGCAAAGAACGTAAGGTATTGAAACTGAAAACAATTATTAAATAATATTTAGAACAATTTAATGGTTAGCCATGTTTGTTTTGGCATTTATGAGTAGCAGCTTTACATGTGTAGAAATCAAGGTCATTGTTATTATTGGTAGACAAAGTTCCTATCTTTTAAAAAGGGGTAGGATTTTCAGTTCTAAATTGTGGTGGGGAGTGGGTTTGCTCGGTGGACCAAGTCTTCCCGAGTATCATATCAATTTTCTACCTAACATAATAATCAAAACTCCCAAATCCATTAGAAGTTGCCCACTTAGCAAAATAATTAATGGTCATTTGAATAAGTCAATCAAGCCACTAGTTATAAGAAATTGCTTGGAATGATATACCACATAACTAAGGTATATAAGACAAGTAGAGAGTTCCTTGTCTTTGACCAGGTTCCCTCTTTTTGTTCCTCTTTGTTGTTTCTATGATAAGAATGGTTGTATTGTGCATTGGACTTTATTTTGTAATATTTAATTAGGTTAATAATTTTTTCATTCACATAAAAAAAAGAGAATTTTTTATTTTGTAATTTAAATTGTAAAATATAAATCACTGGATAGAAGGAGAACCTCCAATACCGAGGCTCTACTTTTAATCTAAGAATAAGTATTGTATAATTTGATATAATTTGAATTATAAAATAAGATTTATTAGATAAGAAATGCTTTCAATATTAGAAACTCACTTTATTTAAAAGTAAGTGTTCTGTTATTTAGTATATTCAGTATATAATATTGTTTCTACTTGGAAATATGTTTTCTCCAATTTATTTAAAAATGATGTCATTTCAAGTGATAAAAGACTAAAATGTCTTTAAGGAAATAGGTAATGCCTTAAGTGTTGGATTTTCCCATAATAAATAAATATCATCTTATAATTAAAATTTATTATTTAAGTTTTGAAATTTATATTTAAAGAAATTAATTTTTTAAATACATTAAATTAATTTATAAATACATATTTAAAATCAGCTAAAAAAATTATACACAAAATCTAATATGAAGACATCTTAATTGGCTAAATTCAATAAATAATCTATTAACTATATAGTTTATTTTAATTTAGTCTAGAAATAATATTTTCTTTAAATATGATCTATAAACTATCAATTTTGTTTCAAAATGATCTGCTTGACAAACATTCCATTAACTAAGACTGACAGAGGGGAGTTTGCGTAGACAAACTACCCCCTAAACTTTTGAAAAATATTAAATATAGTATATATATTTTTATTTTTACAATATTTTGTTTTTAAAGTTCAAAATTTTTGTCAAATGTAATAATTAATTAAGATAAAATTTCAATTTACATTAATTAAGATTCTAATTTTCATTTATAATAATCAATATTATAATTTAAATTTTATTATTTCTAAAAAAAATTAATTTATTATTAAATATTAATATTTTTAATAAATAAACTCTTTCAAAATTTAATATAATTAAATGAGTACCGACACATAATTAAAATTATTTTAAAAAATAAAAATTCATTTCAATTTTATAAATCCCTAAATTAAAATCATGCATGTATTATTAGTGTTAAAAAAATTAAAATTTTTTATTTTTCTATACAAATTAGTGAAAAAATATGTAATTTAATAATAGTATTAAATTTTTTTCAGAAATAATAAAATTTAAAGTATAATATTGAGTATTGTAAATTAAAATTTGAATCTTAATTAATGTAAATTGAAATTTTATTTTAGTTAATTATTACATTTGATAAAAAATTTAAATTTCAAAAACAAAATGTTATAAAAATTAAAATATATGTATTATATTTAATATTTTTCAAAAGTTTAGGAGGTAATTTGCCTACACAAACTCCCTCTCGAATGTTTGTTAAATAGATTATTTTAAAACAAAATTGATAATTTTTAAATCATTTTAAAAAATAATATTATTTTTAAACTAAACTGAAATAAATTACATAATTAGAGAGTATTTATTGAATTTAGCTCATCATAATTGTAACTTGTAAGCACAATAAAAATGTAATGCCTGAATTCGTTAGAAGTGTTTTAATTTTCTTTGTAAAAGACTGACACAAGTTTTTTGTTTTCTTAAACTCAAAATTTATAGTCAATCTGAAAATTCTGAACTAAAAAATAAAAGACATTTGTGTATGCTAAAAGTTAGCGCCATAAAAATTAAAGTAGCTGAACTAAATAACTCAACATCATTCATTTTTTTTTTTTTTTTGTTCATATGATCACCAAAGCTTACATTTAGCAAATACAAGTGCAAATCAAATGGGGATTGCATTGGTGACGGAAGGATAAATCACAGTGGCCGGATGGGCCATGATACGGCGACCCTTCATGTGCTTGAAGCAGTAGACTAAAGCGCCGACTGGCCACTCCACGACGGCTGCGGCGGCAAATGCTAAGAACCCAAGTGTTGGCCCAACCACCTTGCACCTGCAGGGGTTGTCAGTGTTACCGCATTGAACGCAAATCGGGACTCCAAGCATGCCCATTTCGCCCTAGTAGTAACACTTGTGCAGAATTCGTTTCTTCGTACGGATCGGACCGAAGGGATTAATTTGAGCTACAAAAATGCAATGTGCCTTGAGCAGTGCTAGGAGCACTCGCTCCAGCACTTGCTCTTCAACACTCTTCCCATTGTTTTGCCACGTGACTTAGCAAATTAAGACTTTAACCGGAACCGGCAACTACAAGTAAATTGCTAAAAGACAAAACCATTAGACATATATTTACTTGTTTAATTAATGATATATGAAAATTATATTAAAAAAATATAAAAAATTATCCTGTATCACCGTACATTTTGTGGAATTAATGGGAAAATAATGGAAGGAGTTAGGGCAAAAGAGGCCCGCGTTTGGAGCCCATTAAATTGGTCTAAAAATAAAAGTACATTAAATTATATTGGGCCTTAAAAGAGTGTTTTATTTATGTATTTTAATAACATAAATTATTTGTGTTTCCAACATATATCTAACGTAAAAACTAACATTTAACCTTTTATCTTATAAAATTGATAGGTTTTAGTCCATCACTTTATAACATGATAGTTTTATCCCTTTATCTTATAAAGTTAATAAGTTTTAACTCCTCACCTTACAAAATTTATAGGTTTTAACCTTTTACTTTATATTATGATATTTTTAACCCATTACCGATACAAATTAAAAAAAATAACCTTCACCTAATATCAGGTTATAATGTTCTATTAGTTCTGTTAGTCGACTGTTAACATCTGTTAGCATTCTGTTATAAAAAATATAAAATTTAAATTCAATTTTATTTATTAGTTTCATTAACGGAATGTTAACGGATGTTAACAGTCAACTAACAGAATTAACAGTCAGCTAATAAAACTAACAGTCAGTTAACAGAACTGACAGTCAGCTAACAGAACTGATAGTCAGCTAACAAAACTAATATAACATTAAAATCTGATGTTAAATAAGGGTTATTTTCTTCAATTCATACAGATAAGGGGTTAAAAGTGTCATAATATAAGGTGAGAGGCTAAAACCTACTAACTTTGTAAGGTGAGGGGTTAAAATCTACCAACTTTATAAGGTGAGGGGTTAAAACCTATCAACTTTGTAAGATAAAGGGCTAAAAGTGTCATATTATAAGGTTATGGACTAAAACCTATCAATTTTGTAAGGTGAGGGGTTAAATGTTGGTTTTAGCCAATATATAACAATAACATAGCACCATTTTTAAGGCCCAAAAGACCTCTAGGCTTGGGAACAGCCCTTTGTCTTGTGTCCTGTGTCTTGGAAAACAGAGCACCAATTTTCTACTTATGGAATTAAGAGCAAACAACTTTAACATTGTGGGATAATGGAACAAGTTTATTATACATTAAGCAACTGTAGATCTCATCTCCAGCACGACCTTCTATAAGACGCAATAACTAGCACAAGATTATATATGGAGAATTCAACAACATAAAACATTATCCCTGAACATGGCATATATTTGGGGGAGGAGAATAAGATGATACAACACAATCTCTAGTTCTCCATTCCTCGGTATAATCCTCCTTATTTATAGAAATCCCAGAGATGGAACAGGAACTTTTGCCATTAGCTAACCTTTCCTCCTTTCCCCCCACCTCCTTGGCTTCTTTTTGTGGTCAAACTTCTTGTCACTTTGCATAGATTGAATTGCTCAAGGGCTCAAATATATTATTATTATTATTATTATTACTGCATGTTATTATTTTTATCTAAATTTAGGAGAATTTTATATTTTCATAGAATTTGTAGTCTAATAGTTAAAAAATGAAAAAAAGTATTCATAAAAAAAATCATTCTTACTACAAATAATCTATGCTATCATAAAAAAAGTATTATGTAATATAAACTACACAATTTAAATTATTAAATCCAAATTATATCAGGTCAACATAACTTAATTCATTAACAGTCTGTTTGGTAACATGAATTTCATATATGAGCTGGGATCATCTTTAACAAGGACTCCTGAAGTAAAAAGGGAGGAAGAGATTGATACATGGCCCATGGCCATAGAGGGTGCTTGGGCATTGCTAGATTCCTAATCAGTGTTGTTATGTGCTGAATTAGACCTAGTAGGTAGGGTACCATTAATGTCCCTATAGTCGTAGTAATTAAATCAGGACATTCCATATTATGGTGGCCAATTCGACTACAATGAAAATGGAGAGCATTAATTCCTTCATAAACCACATTTTGGCTTTTCTTTCCTATTTTGACTGACTTCACCACCAACTTAGAAAAGTTAATCTAAATGCATATTTGTGCATATTGGCCTCTAGTATGGTGGGTAGTATGTGCATTAACCCTGAGAAAAGTGCCTACTTTGTTCCCTATTTTCTCCAAAGTAACTGAATCATAAAGATCAACTGAAGGCTTAGGAAGCCTAGTTTAAATAGTCATAGTAGCCATAGCATGAATAACATTGGCAAGGTTAAAGTTTGGCTCTTATCTCCTAATAATGAGATAATATGGTCCAATAAACCATGGTCCTCCAAAGATGACCTTGCTGAGATCTTGTGGTACCTGAAATTGAACCAAGAAAAAATCAAGACCCAAGTTAATAAAATCCTACTTACTAGTGGGTTTTCATTAAGCATTAATGAGTGGAAAAATGTAATTATAGCCTAGTGGTTTAGAATGGAATCCTTTGATGATTATGGCATTCATCCAAGGTTCTCATATGTGTCGTTTTTTCACTTTGGAAAGTAAGATAACAAGGGTAGGGTGGTTTGGATCACTGTCCACGTTTGAATCCTCATCCATGTAACTTGGAGTGGTGGCAAAGGAAACCACATAGGGATTCTCATCAAAGAGAAGCTTATCACAATTTAACAAAATTATATTGTTAGCAGCTGCATCAATTAAAACAGTAGCATTGATCTAAATTGCAAATTTTGCCATAATCAAGTCAACGATAAAGGTTGCAATAACAACTTGTACTTATTCCATCTGAGCATCAAATGGAAGTGTTGACTCAATGCACTCCAAGAGGGGGGTGAATTGGAGTTGGAGAATTTTCACCTCTTTGCAACCACCGAACACAAATTAAAGAGAGAGTTAAGAAGAAGAGCTTGCTCAATGATTTATAGAGGTTCGGTCCAACCACTTGGAGCTTGGTCCTCTACCTTGGCTTCACTCACTAAGGATTTCCTCCACACTCTCCACTAACAACAACAAAGGTGGCTTAAAGGAGCCACTCAATCCTTTTACAAGAATAAGGGTGTTTTTCTCAAATCTCACCCCTTTACACTTAAACCCCAAAAATCCTCTCTACAGATCACTCTTGAAGGAATCAACACACCCCCAAGATCACTCACTAATAGCACAAGAAGAGGATTACAAAGAAAGATCTCTCGAAGATCAAAAACTCAAGTTAAAGCTCATGTAGATAGGTAAAGATATTCAACACAATGCTCTCTTAACTTGTTCATATATGTTACCATCCCTATTTATAGCCCCTTGCTCGAAAATAGCCGTTTCTAGCCGTTTCTAGCCGTTGGGGGGTCATTAAATGCTATGCAGGACGCATGGCTTGAGTTGCAGAACTGTCAGGAGAGCCGGCTTAACTTCTTAGAGCCGCTCTGTACAGCCGGTTTACCATTTCTGCAGTCGGCTTTGCGGGATTCCTGCACATTTGTTTTCCTCGAGAACCGGCTACAAGACTTTGAGCTGGCTTTAGAACTCCAACTTTAAATACATTAAATATTCTTCAAAAGAGTCGACCGTTGTGCATTAAATGTGCCCTCATAGCCGGCTATAAAGTTGGAGCAGGCTCTACTTCCATTTTCTGCGCGCACAACACAGCAGTTGAATTTCTGGCCCGTAGAGCCTGCTCAACAAAATCTGCAGGTGGCTCTCTGCACTTTTGCTTCCCAAAGCCGGCTGTAATTTTCTTAAGCCGGCTCTCTGCACATTTTTGCCCTTTGAACCCTTTTTAATGCAATCTTATTTTGCTTACTTTACAGTATATTGGCAATTTAACTACACACTTAATAAATCAATTAGTCACTCAAATGTGTTTTGTAATCATCAAAATCATAGGTACAACAATCTCTCCCTTTTTGATGATGACAAAACACTTTGATCGTGAAAGCATATATACTTCAATATTAACCTCAAAATTTCAGCACCAAGAAAATGACATTAAATTCAGCATATTCTCTCCCCCTTTTTGTCATTCATCAAAAACCACATAATCAACAAACTCCCCCTTAATTCATGCGCATCAATCTTTAAAGCATTTAAGCATGATAACCATTAAGAAAAGTAATTTAAGCATATTATGCTCCCCCTTAATTCATGCTATCAACTTTTAAAGCATCAAGAATATATAATGAATATAATCATCAATCATCATCAATATAGCACCATAGACAACCAAAGTCATGAATACAGTCATCAACCAATAAACTCCCTCTCAATAAGAGCATATAATCATCAAAATCATAAACAATCAATACCAAAAGTCATAAACTGCAGGAGAGCCGGCTCTATTCCTGGAACCGGCTTAATTCTAGAGAGATAAACCCAAATATTCAAAGAGCTGCAGGAGAGCCGACTCTGATCTTGGAGCCAGCTTAACTCTAAAGAGAGAAGACTCTCGAGTTTTTGGTGGAGCCGGCTGTGAAAATGCTTGAGCCGGCTCTACTGTCCTTGATTGGGACAAACAGAAAGTTTAGGGTTGTTTTGAAGGGAATGCACCTTAATTTGATATTTCTTCATTTAACCAAGTTTAAATTGAACATCAACTACTAAATTTGCAACTTTAGTCATATTTTAATGTATGCATCATCAAATAGCATGAATATAATCAAGGTACACAAATTCTAATAATCAAATTCATTAATTTCAAGAATCATATCAAGCACTAGGAAAGACACAT